TTCCAGCTATATGGCGGCGGTCTGTAAATAATCGAGTCTGGGCCAGACAATTCAGTGATCAGCAGCATGAGCATCAATCTGCGCAATTGGGAACCGATGACATGTGTCAACCAAGTCAGCGAGCCTGACCACCCGATCCCGTTAGTCGCCTCTTACGAAAAGCATGGGTTACTGAAGATCAATATTCTAACCCGGACCTTCACAGGTACACAGCTCACGAGATACATCATTATGTATGTAAGCTAAATAATGACATTAACTTAGTTATGTGTGTTTAAAGGAATGAACGATTGGTAATTTGTCCATAAGTGTTTTCAGTGTAAATCATCCTCAAAATATTTCACTTCTAGATTGGGCTCACACGTTGTACCCATGCGAGAAGTCGAACCTTAACTACTGTGGAACTTTTTAACCGCTAAGCCACATTATCACCAATTCTAGAACAGAGATGTAACCTGTCTTTCTGTCTACACGCAAAGTGCCGCCATCTTGATAGTCGCCCGTTTATTGTGCTTCTGTAAGCCAACGATCAGATGACTGTCAATTGATTTGTCTAAACTACGCGCGAGCTCGCGCGTGTGTGTGCCTGAAATATTATAGATGCTGCTTTAAACACTATTCATGCCCATATCCGTTGATAGACAAGTCTTATAATTGATTCATTATTATTGAGTTGTATCACCTTACCAAAGTACACGTTCTCCTGATGTTGATTTAATACATATACAAAAAACACCCGCCCATTTCTACCGTTAGAGGATACTTCCCTGGACATAATCTGTGCGTAGTTCTGCCTCGGATAGCATATGTTTCTGTTTTTCTATTGGTCTTTTCTTTAAGCTGAGCTGAAATTTTCTCTTAATATGTCATTTTTTTAAAATTCATTAAGAACCAATATCTTCTAAAATAGTTCTATAGTTAATCTGCCATGAATGGATATAGTAAAAATACAACAGCTTTATCCATTGTACCAAATTCCTGTTGTAAACTTAATTTAAATCATCTTACAGTTCACTACAATATTTAATCACCATACAAGACCCTCGAATTGCATTTGGGGGTCATCTGCACCCTCAGCTATGAACTGCTAGTGAAACCCAGCTGGATGCCATGTTCAAGCAACAGGGCAGCATTTTTATTGTTTGTGTTTCTCATGTACCGCCTCGTCATATAAAAGGTTTATCTATCTAAAATATTTTAATCAGTCGCTGCCACAAGTCCAAAGAACGCGAGAAATTGTAATAAAAATTACAATAAATGAGAATCAAGAAATATATTCTTCATTAAGTTGTTTGTTATTTTCCCCCGGCCGACCGACCCAATGTTCAGAATTTGGTGGCTACGTGAAACAGATAAAAAACTGATGCCAATACGGGAAACACTGCAAACATAAATATGAACACACAATTATGACGCATCACCATTTACTTGTTGAATGTTTTGTCACCATCAAAATAATATGGATGTATACATTCATTTATCGGGTACTTTATATATATTAGAAACATTGAAAAAGCACCACTCCTTTGATACGAAACATCCCAGTCAGACTGAAATGTACCCATGATATCTGAGCATCGTGGGTGTATTTTAGTGTGCAGCGTTTCTAATGCTGATCAGTATATATATATATATATATATATGTGTGTGTGTGTGTGAGAGAGAGAGTGTGTGTGTGTGTGTTTTATTTATTAATCTCAGGAATTCCTTTTACCTATATAGATTCTATTTCAATTATAATCTGACAATCATTCTTTTTGATTGGCATTTTAGAAATTAACGAATCATAGCAAAGGTAAGATACTTTATGGATACTTATTTATCATATCATGATGCGACTGATACCATTATAAATTGAATGATATCACCAATTTTGCTATGTTATCACAAATTAGATTTTTGTAACGTGATAGTATGTGATATTCTGAAATGTAGATTAAGGTGGATGCCTCATCCTTCTTTGCCAGGCCTTGCAATGGGTGATCCAAGGGAAATAACTCTGACGACTGTCATGCTTTATCATCAGTTTATTGATGAGGACACAAATTCACAAGTGTGATGTTATACAACAACAGGTTGTAATGGAGACATTAACATCAAATAAACACTGACATCAAACAGAGCATCAATTTATATACATGGACTATGGGGAATAGCTCGATACTGCAACAGTCAATACTGAACTGAAATGTGTTTCATTGATAGTGATAGTACTCTGTGAGAAGTGAGTGAGTGACAGTACTAGAGTGAGGAGTGAATGATGTACTAGAGTTTGGAATGAGTGAGTGAGGGGGCTCCAGTTAGGAATGAGTGAATGATTGTAATTGATTGAGTAAGTGAGTCTAGTTTTATGCTGCACTCAGCAATATTCAAGCTATATCAGTAAATAATCAAGTCTGGACCAGCCAATCCAGTGATCAACAGAATGTGCATCGATCTACATAACTGGGATACAATGACATGTGCCTGACCACCTGTTCCCGTTAGTCGCCTCTTACGACAAGCATGAGTTAGTGAAGATCAGTTCTAACCCAGAAGTATTAGAGTGAACATTGAGTGAATGATAGTAACTGAGTGAGGAGTGAATAACAGTTGTTTAGCAAAGAATGAGTGAGTGACTTTACTACTCTTCAGGCAGCAATATTCCAGCTACATATCACAGCCATCATCAAGATGGTAAAATGTGTCTCTAGGGTAACAGGACATCTGTGGACAGTACTGGTGTTGGGAATTGGTTAAAATCTCATAATTGATGATTGATTCATTACAACCGATCAGTCATCGAAAATAATTGGTTAGCATCATTAATCAAATTTTCCTGTTATGTTTGTTAATGGACAAAAGTAATTGGACCTGCTTACCAGAAATACTTAATGACTACACATCCATAAAGGATGTTATTAAACCGTATATGATGAACCTGATTTTGATTTCTGGTGTAATTCACATTGAACCATAGAGGGTAGGGGTGTCTACAATATGTCTGTTGTTGTTACTACAGGAAATCAGCTGTGGATCTGACAAGTATGCCTGTCTGTTGAAACCCATCAGGACTGGTGCAGGCAGCCCAGGAAACAATGAGGGCCTATCTGGGCATCAAACCATGAAAATAGGATTCTGCAACCCAAGGGAAGCAACTGCTATCTGACAGCATCATGCACAATTTACACAGGTCCATATCAGCAAACCTGTGACTTACAGAGTAAGTGGTTTCTCCATGGAAACAACAAGTTGCAGCATCTGGTCTCCATTGTAATCATCCAATCCACATTATACACCTAACGATACAGACAAGGAGAGGATTCCATCTTGAATTGTTTTTATGGATTTCCACAAAGCTACAGACTGGTATGATATTCACAACTGTTTCAATGGTATGGTGTTCACAACAATGCAATGGTGTTCACAACAATGCTATGATATTAACAACAATGGTATGATGTTCACAACAATACTTATCATGACGTTCACAACAATGTTATGATATTCACAACAATGCTATGATGTTCACAACAATGGTATGATGTTGACAACAATGGTATGATATTCACAAGAATGCTATGATGTTCACAATGCTATGATGTTCACAACAATGCTATGATGTTTACAACAATGGCATGACATTCACAAGAATGCTATGATGTTCAAAATGCTATGATGTTCACAATGCTATGATGTTCACAACAATGCTATGATGTTCACAACAATGCTATGATATTCACAACAATGGTATGATATTCACAACAATGGTATGATATTCACAACAATGCTATGATATTCACAACAATGCTATGATGTTCACAACAATGCTATGATATTCACAACAATGGTATGATATTCACAACAATGCTATGATATTCACAACAATGCTATGATATTCACAACAATGCTATGATATTCACAACAATGCTATGATATTCACAACAATTGTATGATATTCACAACAATGGTATGATATTCACAACAATTGTATGATATTCACAACAATTCTGTATGATATTCACAACAATGGTATGATATTCACAACAATTGTATGATATTCACAACAATTGTATGATATTCACAACAATGCTATGATATTCACAACAATTGTATGATATTCACAACAATGCTATGATATTCACAACAATGCTATGATATTCACAACATTTGTATGATATTCACAACAATTGTATGATATTCACAACAATGCTATGATATTCACAACAATGCTATGATATTCACAACAATTGTATGATATTCACAACAATGCTATGATATTCACAACAATTGTATGATATTCACAACAATGTATGATATTCACAACAATTGTATGATATTCACAATTGTGATATGATATTCACAACAATGCTATGATATTCACAACATGATATTCACAACAATTGTATGATATTCACAACAATGCTATGATATTCACAACAATGCTATGATATTCACAACAATTGTATGATATTCACAACAATTGCTATGATATTCACAACAATGCTATGATATTCACAACAATGCTATGATATTCACAACAATGGTATTCACAACAATATTCACAACAATTGTATGATATTCACAACAATTGTATGATATTCACAACAATTGTATGATATTCACAACAATGCTATATGATATTCACAACAATTGTATGATATTCACAACAATTGTATGATATTCACAACAATTGTATGATATTCACAACAATGCAATAATATTCACAACAATGCTATGATATTCACAACAATGCTATGATATTTGCAACAATGCAATGGTATTCACCACAGTGATTACAATCTGTGGAAGAAACCCCATTACTGTGTAATCTGAAGAAAATAAGTTCTTCATATGAATCACACCAAACTCTGCCATTGAAATACACAACCACTTTCTATAAACACCAAGCGATGGAGCACAATATGCATTGACTAGACTCACACTTTCAGTGTCTATATACAAAAGTCCACTTTTCAAACATAAAATTCACATGTGAACATTTATTCATGTGTTAGGTTGTTGTGCTAAACAAGCCATACTGTGTATAAATGGTCATGCTTTGAAGAAACAGGTTTGGTCAGTAAAAATGTAGACAAAACTGATTAAAAAAATTAGGCTTGGAATGCTTTCATTACTTTTGAATTACCTCCCTTAGAGCACTATCCTATTCATCTTTGGAGCTGAAAAGCATTCTTATTTTTATATTGTTGTTTACAACAAAGATCACAATGGTTCATAAAATCATATTATTAAAAAGCATAAAGTTATTTCCATACATTCGTATGCTAATTTTGGTATCACTGATACTATGACTTAACTTATGAAATAGACATACTTTAGCATTAACAAGAAATGAGTGTTATCTTCCATTCACGATACATAGAACCAACCATCTGAAAAGATTCTAAACAATGTTGATTTGAATGTATCCATATACCGGGGTACTGATTTATTTGTATAAAACATTTTCATTATTTTATCACAATCCACTCAAACTGATATATTTCATGAACAATCCTGGATTAATGTCAAACATTTGTGAGAATCAAGGTATTTGCTATGTAAGTACTGGTATACATACCAAATTTAATTAAATATTCATCATGTTTCCTGAAATCGATCAAGGTATGTGTCTTCCCTCATATCCACTGGCAAACTGTAAATGTTTGGAGAGTTGTCTCCCTTTGACTATTTTGTATATTTCATCATGAGCTGGAAGATGTCACACAGATGCTGTCGTGGATGATGCACAAGTGATTGACAACATCAGTCTAATATTGCAATGAGTGTCACTCATTTCTTAACAACTCTTGTGCAGTCATCACGCCAATTCAATCCAGCTACTGGTGCTGTTGAACATGCTTGGTGACATGCAGGCTGTGCATGGTGCCAATTGTTTCAAGTTAATGTGGATGAATTGCAGTAAGAATGAAAAATGATGGTATATTTCACATGTCATGTACACTGGTCTTCAGATCTTGTGCTACATGATGATGTCGATTACAAACACAAAAACATTCAGATATTGAGATTCCGCAGTTGGTTTCATCATCACTGGATGTCAATGTCATGTCTATTGCATGAAATGTACAACACTGAAGTCCGACAGGTGGCACATCAACACCTCAGTTAACAGGTGCCAGGTGCTTGATTCGTGGTAACAGCTGATTGTCACGCTGATGTGGTGAAATGGATTACAGTCAATGACAGTGACAGATGTCAGTTACACCTTCTGTCGTCAGTTACACCTTCTGTTGTAAGTTACACATGGTATGTGACCGCGTGAGTGTCTTTCTTGCGATGAGCGTGACACGCCATCATGCAGCAGATGATCGTCAAGCCGGCTCCACATCCCGTCAGGTAGAACGCCCACGATAATGTACAGCTCCCTGGAACGCAAGAAAGAACATAAGAACACCTCCACACCGTTACAATACACTGTCAATTTCATTCAAATTAAAACATTATGAATTTGTTTCCTTTTTCCTAAAGCCAAAGATACCCATATATACCAACATATCTAATCTCTGAAATGAACAATGTTTACAGATAGAAAAGGTTCCTGAAATATCTTCATACAATATAATTGAGAGCACAGAGACTTTCTTCACTTTCTGAGACTGCACACATATACTAGACCTGAATGTGCTGTATTGGGTTTAATTATTCAGTCTCTGTATGGCAGACTAAGCAACAATTGATACGGTCAATTCCTTGTTTCATGTTCTTTTGTAGTCCCAGAAATAACCCATTGCCCGGCGCAACAATGTTTTTTCTGTTGGGCAAAACAATTTGTATATCACACTGTTGTTTCCATTGACTTTCCAATATTAATTATGTAGTTTATTTAAAAAATCAACAAGAAAACAGCCGGTACTAATGGAAAAATTATCAGGGCAAGTGATTTTACATGTGCCACTGTCACTCAATTTTAAAGTTATTCCACCCCTACAGTCCACTTGTTTACTTCCTCAAGTAATTCATAATTTATACCTTTATACAGTGTGCATTAAATGTTTTCAACATCCTGATGAGTGAGTGAGTATATTTTTCTACATTGCTTTTATCAGTATCCCAGCAATATGATGGCGGGAACACCAGAAATGGCCTCCCACAATTTACCCAAGTGGGGCATCAAACCCAGGCCTTATAGCATCACGTTGGCATGACGAGCCAACGCTTTAACCACTTGGCAACCCTACCACGAGGTGTGTAGTATCTTTGTGGTTGAAACATCACCTCTCCATCGCGAAGGCCAACACCCCAAATGGGTACAATGTGTCAAGCCCATTTCTGACGTTCCCTACTGTGATAATGTTGAGCTAAAAGTGGCATAAAACCACACTCACTAACTCAAAATCGCAGTTTCCCCACTGTAACAGGAGGATCGGTAGGGTAGCCTAGTGATTTACCGCATTCGCTTGTCGCGCCGACCCGTGTTTGATTCCCCACATTTCTGGTGTCCCCATACTGTTCCATACTGGAACATTGCTAAAAGTGGCGTAAATAAAAACTCGCTCACTCACTGTAAGAGGAGCGAGTGAGTGAGTGAGTATGGTTTTACGCCACTTTTAGCAATATTCCAGCAATATCACGGCTGGGGACACCAGAAATGGGCTTCACACATTGTACCCATGTGGGGAATCGAACCCGAGTCTTTGGCGTGACGAGCGAACGCTTTAACCACTAGGCTATCCCATCGCCCCCACTGTAAGAGGAAACAGTTGAAGACTCACCTAGATTGTAGTGACCAGACAGGCCTTGACAGGCCTGGTGGACTTCCACATTGTCCCAGCCGTATGGATAGATAGCTAGCCCTCCTCCAATCAAAAGACCTGTAACAGGAAGCAGGATGTTGTCATGGTGATAAAACATGGACTTAGGAATTCTTTTCTGAATTATCAACATGAAACATTATAAGTTGTTCACTGGTCTCGAGGGGGACATGGGCTGATGTACCCTCGATGTTTGTTTATGTTCCCTGAGCCATCAACCCATGGGCCCGTGGGGACCAGTGAACAACGTATTTATCTTACCGAACACCTCGGTGGTAATTTAGTATGGAGGACCAGACGACCAGAAAAACAAAATTAGAGTTATCTCCCTTCCATCGATTTGCATTCACAAAATATCGGTAATTTCCGTACATCGGTAACATCCGTACGAGATAAAGAAATACTACTACGAAGTACCAAATGAGTTCGGCATTCCCAGCGGGGTACATAGAAAATGTTACTCGCTTGTAAGCGGGGAACATTGAAAATAACAGAAGAGCGCTCAGCCAATCAGAAAATGACATTTATGTGTGAGGCAAGATAAGAGATGTTGGGACTCACACTCCATAGGATTTGCTGTACAAAAAGAGAAAACTGACAATAATTCTGGAGAAACTTCATATTTTGTTTTTGGAATAAAGAGACCTGGAAAAAGATGACAGAAAAAGACCCAAAGCAATGACTAAAAATGCATATTGCTGAACATGCTCTCGGATCTCTTTCATTTGGAAAGCTCCATCCATTTATTACATACATTCACCAGGATTCAATGATGATGATGATGATGATAACAATACTACCTATAAATACATGTAATTTGAGTTGAGTTTACTCAGTGCACCTGTGAAAAGGAATAATATGTTTTAAAATACTTGTGTCAGTTGTCTGTTTCTAAACAAACTTCCAGCCTTTTAGATAATACAGCTATAAATACAAAACAGCCGATGGTGTTATCAGGGGAGATAACCACTAAATGTTGGAACATCTGGAATATATATTTCACCTAACACTGATGTATGAGAAGTATTAAACATTAGCAAAGAACAGATATGCACATTGTCAGAACACTCCAGTTGCTTTCAACAAGGACCTCAACACATAAACCTTTTAATAATCTATTTTCTTGCTTCTGATAAAACCTTTCAATCCTATGTGATATGCTGATTTAATATATTTAGGAAGAAATCCATTTTAGGTGGCACTGAAAATTTCCTGTTTTCAAGTCACAAGGATTTTAGAATCAGCATCATTTTAAGTGTTGGTACAGCTGTTTCATGGAAAAGCATTGCTGCAATTTGTAATATGCATCCAGTAATTGTGTAATTTTGTTGAAAAGTAATCTTGAGATACATTATTTGCAGTGTTGTCATAAAGCTACTTGAATGAGTCTGGATAACCCATTAAATGTACGAAAACACGGTGGATCGAGTCAAAGTAACAGGAAAAAGCGGAAAAGAAGCAAGATTTTGCCAGGAATAAAAGTAACAGGGAAAAGAAACACTTTTTCAGTTGTTTGTTTTTTATCTATTAACAAAGTATAACAAAACAATTACAGGCGCATTTTTTGCATCCATAAGCAATGTTCTCAGTTCTTAGTTCTAACTAATGAAGATGAGGTGGTCAGGAATTCGGAGATGACTGGAGTGACTGCGCTGGAGTAACTCCATATTCTTCTTGCTCCATGATTTGGGCATAACCCCAAGGCAAGCTTGTTGTTCTTAGTTTTTGTGAGACTTTGGTCTTTTTAGAGCCATTAACCAACTTAATCAAAGCTCATCGTAATCCTAATTAAGTGTTTATGTAACTATTTATATAAAAACTGTTACTTTTTTTCCTGTTACTTTTATCCGTTACTTTTTTTCCTGTTTCGCTTTTTTCCTGTTACTTTTATTCTACATTCAAAAACCACAACCCTCTTAACATTTCACATACAAAACACTTTCTTTATTAATAAATGTTTAAAGTTCTACAGTTGCTTGTCTCATGTAAAAATGTTTCTCATCTTAAAAATATATTCAACTTGTCATTGCTTTCAGATATTTAACCTTTAAATCAAGTCCCCAAAAGAACTGACCGTCATGTCGGTTCCTGCTAATACAGGAGAGTGGTATAGGGCAATAGGGCATTATTCAGTATCTGTGTCCTGCCCACTTAGTCAATGACATGGCATTACGTTTCTTATGCAGGATTCCATCATTAAGTCTAGACATCCATGAGAGTGCTTTCCCTGTAGAGACCTGTATCAATGTCATCCTTGAATCCAGTGGAATTAATGTCATCACCAGATACACAGACAAACGTCGGCTAGAGGACAGTGTTCTATAGTGACCTGTGTCTGTGTGATCCTAGACTAAGGTTTAATCCCTGAATACATATATATGTGATAGTAGCAAATGAAACCCATTTAAATTGAAAAGGAGCCCAAAGTGAGACCAGAAATTCCTGGACCTGAGGAAATCTAGACTTGCTTCATTTAGGGCTTTAGCATTGCAGGGAGGGCTAGGCTGTAGGGAAAATAATATGCTTCAGGGACTGTGAGACACAGAATAGTGTGATCCCTGAATCTAGTCGATTTAACCTCATCACCAGACACAAACTCAGGCGAGTGGACAAAGTGTTCTATATATTGAGCCGCGGTATATGCGTCGATCCCTCAATCCACTGTATTTAATCAGCCTGTATCTATATTCTAATGTCAAAGGCTGTAATAGCAATCAAATGCAGCTTAACCAACTAAATCAAAGCATATCTCATTAATGCAGGAGTTACTCTGGGCGATGTCTCCATCCTGTTCTGGCTATCAAGTGGTCCATAAAATGGTTCACCTGTTTTCTGATTTAATGAAGACATTTTTAGAAACAGGTAAAAGGTCAAATGTCTTGCACCAACATAATATAATTTGTCAAACCAGGACTCTAGATTTTGAGATAGCTCTGGCTTAAGCTAAGATAGTCGTAAGTTAATGTTAATGTATGGCACTTTACAACTATCTTAGCACTCAGAGAGCTTCTCGGTAATCTAGGGCCCCTATACTCCACGGAGGGTACATTGGTCAAACAAGGTTTCTTTTGCACTAAAATCCTTCATCACGGATTGTCTGGTCCAGTCTTGATTATTTACAAACTGCCGCCATGTTGCTGGAATATTGCTGAGTTCAACAAACACTAAATCCTTCATCGCTGGATTGTCTGGTCCAGACTTGATTGTTTACAGACTGCTACGCCATAAGTTGCCATGGAATATTGTTGAGTTCTAACCATAGGTGGTCCGATTAATGATTTAGTGTAAATATACTTTCTGTGTTCTTTAAATGCATTTCCACTTGGGTACTGCATAAACAAAATATGACATTAACATTACAAATTTAAAGATTTTAACCTACAGAATAATTCTCCCCTATAGGGTTTTGTGGTTAATGTTGAACAACTCAGAGTAACAAACTCCATATGATGGTTAACAGTTGGTACCCACCTTACCCTATTCACGACCTGTGACACCTCTTCATACCTGACACGTGCATGGCTGACCTACATTGACGAACATTGACCTTTATGACCCAACACTGCCGCTGTTACAGGTCTGCGTTCTGCTGTTTATTTTGTTGACAGTTACATAGACAGATTCTTTAATACAAATGCATAAAATCGGTGATTTCCAATGTGATTAGGTTGTCTGACAAAACATCCACTTGCACAGTTTGAGATCGATTGGGTCATTGGATGAAGAGATATTTACAAAAAAACGGGTCCACATGCATTTCATGCCAAACTATAGGCTACCCAACCGCCCCCACTGTAAGAGGAAGCAGTTGAAGACTCACCTAGATTGTAGTGACCAGACAGGCCTTCACAGGCCTGGTGGACTTCCACATTGTCCCAGCCATATGGATAGATAGCTAGCCCTCCTCCAATCAAAAGACCTGTAACAGGAAGCAGGATGTTGTCATGGTGATAAAACATGGACTTAAGGCATTCTTTTTCTGAATTATCAACATGAAACATTATAAGTTGTTCACTGGTCTCGAGGTGGACATGGGCTGATGTACCCTCGATGTTTGTTTATGTTCCCAAATTTAGAGTTATCTCCCTTCCATCGATATGCATTCACAAAATATCGGTAATTTCCGTATATCATACGTGATTCAATGTTATTCGAGATAAAGATTACTACTACGAAGTACCAAATGAGTTCGGCATTCCCAGCGGGGGTAGATAGAAAATGTTACTCGCTTGTAAGCGGGGTACATTGAAAATAATAGTAGAGCGTTCAGCCAATCAGAAAACGACATTTATGTTGGGACTCGCACTCCATAGGTTCTGCTGTACAAAGAGAGAAAACTGACAATAATTCTGGAGAAACTTCGCTCCACAATTCATATTTTGTTTTTGGAATAAAGAGACCTGGAAAAAGATGACAGAAAAAGACCCAAAGCAATGACTAAAATGCATATTGCTGAACATGGTCTGGGAAGCTCTTTCATTTGTAAAGCTTCATCCATTTATTACATACATTCACCAGGATTCAATGATGATGATGATGATGATAACAATACTACCTATAAATACATGTAATTTGAGTTGAGTTTACACAGTGCACCTGTGAAAAGGAATAATATTTTTTAAAATACTTGTGTCAGTTGTCTGTTTCTAAACAAACTTCCAGCCTTTTAGATAATACAGCTATAAATACAAAACAGCTGATGGTGTTATCAGAGCAGATAACCATTAAATGCAGGAACATCTGGAATATATATTTCACCTAACACTGATTTATGAGAAGTATTAAACATTAGCAAAGAACAGATATGCACATTGTCAGAACACTCCAGTTGCTTTCAACAAGGGCCTCAACACATAAACCTTTTAATAATCTATTTTCTTGCTTCTGATAAAACCTTCCAATCCTATGTGATATGCTGATTTAATATATTTAGGAAGAAATCCATTTTAGGTGGCACTGAAAATTTCCTGGATTTCAAGTCACAAGGATTTGAGAATCAGCATCATTTGACTGACTGACTGACTGAGTTTGGTTTTACGCCGCTTTTAGCAATATTCCAG